GACGCATACGAGGCCACAACACATAACTGGTCCAGAAGGACAAAGAAGGGGACGGTGGGATTGGAAGACTGTCAGAACCAGTCGAAAAGGGGTGTGGTGACGGTAAAGTCGAGAGTCTGGCGTCGCTGAGGCAGCCTAGCGTCTTCTAAGGCCTTTGGGGAGCAACATCGCTAACCAACTGGAATATCAACCACTCGAAATTTGATCATGAAAACTAAGGCTCCGCTGTCACTGGATAAAACAGGAAACGTCTACCTGGCCGCATGCGACCCCGGCCCGCGACATAGATCCGAGTTGCAGAACGCAAATGAAGACAATGAAGAGGACGAAGCCATATTCTCTGGTGGCGAAATCAATGCACAGACGCATACCCGCCTTTCACACTGGAGAAATCCTAGATCGAGAAAAGTTCGCGCAATCAGGAAAAAACATCAGGCCTGACACACGCGAACAATGGACATCAGCGGTTATGTGGCCCTTAGTACGGCCTACCAAACCCTCCGAAAACAGCACAATGAAGGAAACAGCAAGCAAGAACACAGACTCATCAGCAGTCATGAACTGACAACGTCTGCATTTTCTCCCTCTTTCTCTAAGTCGTACAAGTTTCTGCAGGGATTTTATGCCCAAGTTAGGTATAGAAGGGGAAGCCACCCGGATCCCAGTGAAAAAACGATAAGGGTCGAGAGTTTGAACAAAAACCAACTACACTGACGGCAAAAAGATCCGCGATGGATTTAGCTGCCGCCCGTCGCTACATAAAAAAGTTATGAAGCCTTGTGCAGGAAGCCCTTCCAAATAACAAAATAACCAGAGTGGACTATGGATGGAAGTGGGACAGTGGAAAGAAGGCCGAGGCAAGTGAATGCTCCAAGAGGGGGAAAGGAATGGGAAACGGGGAATGGAGGAGGGGTGGGGGGGGATTGTCCGAACTGACCAAGACGGAGAGGTGTGGAGGAAAACTCAATATCAATATCAATATCGACTGTTGTCCTGCGAACATTTTAAGATAGTGAAATTAAAGGAGTGAGCTGAAACGAAACACCCACTATAGGGTCGGAACGACAAGCAGGGTGCTAGGCGGCGGGAAGGATTAATTTCGAGTCTCAGGGATAAGGATAACTTATATGATCCCCTAAACAGGACATGAGAACACAAACTGCCCGCAATACAGGCTGGCTTTGCGCTATAGTGCAGCTCATCAGGATAAGGCTTAAGGGTAGGATTAGGATCGGGGTTAAATTTAGAGTGGGGCTCGGATTAGGACTACGGTTTATGCTAGGACAAGGGAATATTTGTCCCTCCTGGAATTATACGCAGGGGCAACATCATTACTTGGCCGGGGCGTTCCTATTCACGTATCCTTTTTGCTTGGGGAGCGGGGGGGGCATATGCGTAATCCGCGCCCTTTCAGATAAAAATCTCTGGTTGGTGCGGACAGAAGGTTGACCCACTATGTGTGCGACAGGCTATTTCTGATCCTGTCTTGCAACTAGAACACGAGGTCTTTATAGAGACAGAGAATTAAGTGTGATTATGCGCGTACAAGCCGTCCTCAAAATAATCCCATTTAGAAAACAGTCGCCACTGGTGGGTAGGCTTGTCGGGATTCACCAGCGCGGACTGACCTCCTCCATCGCCCTGGATTGAAAAACCCGGCAAAGGCCTAGTAAGA